ACCATGCATATTGGAGATTTCAATGAATCTTCATTATTGTACTGGATTATCATGTAAAATGAAAATTGCCCGTGTTGCCTTGGAAATAACTTCAACAATTTGAAAGAAATGCAACAGTACCTTCAAATTTTATAAAAATGTTTACTCTTTTGCATTTGATTTACTTATTTTTGTCTTAGATGCATCAAATCCGTAATCTATTTATTATGATTCAGTTAGTCGTTCGGATGTTTACATTTTGTAATTGCTAGTGAAGCAAGTCGCGATGTGTTTGTTGACGATGAGTCATTTCTAATATTATATCGTGATAAATCTAAAACATCATTAAAATAATACCATTTAAACGAATCGAAGTTATTCATTGGACTCGTTTCCAGCAAATATGGGAGACCGGATCAATTTGGCTTAATTTTTCATAACACTACCCAAACTAGGTGCAAGGGTTAGTCGAACCTCTATAACTATTGGGTTTGGCAACTAAGTAGTTGCCGATTTCAATTATAGATGTCTCTTACTCCCATTTTTATGATATCCGTAAATGTTATATATTATAAAATTATTACCTGTCTCTTATACACATCTAGATGTGTATAAGAGACAGAGTTACTATTGGGTTGGCAACTAAGTAATTGCCGATTTCAATTATAGATGTCTCTTACTCCCATTTTTATGATATCCGTAAATGTTATATATTATAAAATTATTACCTGTCTCTTATACACATCTAGATGTGTATAAGAGACAGAGTTACTATTGGGTTGGCAACTAAGTAATTGCCGATTTCAATTATAGATGTCTCTTACTCCCATTTTTATGATATCCGTAAATGTTATATATTATAAAATTATTACCTGTCTCTTATACACATCTAGATGTGTATAAGAGACAGAGTTACTATTGGGTTGGCAACTAAGTAATTGCCGATTTCAATTATAGATGTCTCTTACTCCCATTTTTATGATATCCGTAAATGTTATATATTATAAAATTATTACCTGTCTCTTATACACATCTAGATGTGTATAAGAGACAGAGTTACTATTGGGTTGGCAACTAAGTAATTGCCGATTTCAATTATAGATGTCTCTTACTCCCATTTTTATGATATCCGTAAATGTTATATATTATAAAATTATTACCTGTCTCTTATACACATCTAGATGTGTATAAGAGACAGAGTTACTATTGGGTTGGCAACTAAGTAATTGCCGATTTCAATTATAGATGTCTCTTACTCCCATTTTTATGATATCCGTAAATGTTATATATTATAAAATTATTACCTGTCTCTTATACACATCTAGATGTGTATAAGAGACAGAGTTACTATTGGGTTGGCAACTAAGTAATTGCCGATTTCAATTATAGATGTCTCTTACTCCCATTTTTATGATATCCGTAAATGTTATATATTATAAAATTATTACCTGTCTCTTATACACATCTAGATGTGTATAAGAGACAGAGTTACTATTGGGTTGGCAACTAAGTAATTGCCGATTTCAATTATAGATGTCTCTTACTCCCATTTTTATGATATCCGTAAATGTTATATATTATAAAATTATTACCTGTCTCTTATACACATCTAGATGTGTATAAGAGACAGAGTTACTATTGGGTTGGCAACTAAGTAATTGCCGATTTCAATTATAGATGTCTCTTACTCCCATTTTTATGATATCCGTAAATGTTATATATTATAAAATTATTACCTGTCTCTTATACACATCTAGATGTGTATAAGAGACAGAGTTACTATTGGGTTGGCAACTAAGTAATTGCCGATTTCAATTATAGATGTCTCTTACTCCCATTTTTATGATATCCGTAAATGTTATATATTATAAAATTATTACCTGTCTCTTATACACATCTAGATGTGTATAAGAGACAGAGTTACTATTGGGTTGGCAACTAAGTAATTGCCGATTTCAATTATAGATGTCTCTTACTCCCATTTTTATGATATCCGTAAATGTTATATATTATAAAATTATTACCTGTCTCTTATACACATCTAGATGTGTATAAGAGACAGGTAATAATTTTATAATATATAACATTTACGGATATCATAAAAATGGGAGTAAGAGACATCTATAATTGAAATCGGCAATTACTTAGTTGCCAACCCAATAGTAACTAGTGACCCTTTCCCTTCTAAATTCCTTTCGCAACGGTATTCATCGTAAACCTTTGAACGGCGAACAGCGTACCCTTCGAACTGACCCGACATCGGGTTGCACAACGCTAATTACGTTATCTGGTACGTATGGCGTTTACACGGGGTTCAGCCGGTTTAGCGTGGTTTCGTCATGGAAGGATGCGACTTAACGCATTCCTGCTCATTATCTAATTTGTCGATCGTTCGGTTTCTGTCGAGACTCACGTGATCTGGGCCCCGTTTCGTCAGCGAACGTCTGTTCGTCCCGCCGCAGAAAAGCCGGAGAACACGCGCCTAGTAACCTTACACGTGATGACCATCCGCGGCTTCATCCAAGATCCGGGGAAGGTAAGTCACTCGTCCACTGTTACGCAAACCTTTTCCTCCTGGTACGCTGTCCACAGTCTCGTCAAATCCCTGACCATTAACACCTGAACAATTTTACCGTAGCGAAACCCATAAGGATGCAAGAACTCCGAAGAATTCCAAACTCGCCCGCGAATTGCTGACTAGGCTAGTTAGGCAACTCGAAAGTTCAAATATTTGAAACTTCGCGCAAGCGCAGTTTGCGCGATGCCGGTAGCAAAACAATTCGTCTTCGCTCAACTCAATTTGTACCTTCCCAAGGACTCACGGGTAAAGTAATGATAATGATTACAATTTATTTTTTCTGCTGAATAATGGTCCTAGCGGTGACTACTAGAGGAAAATCACTGTTAAAACAGCAGAATTAATGATAATACCGCCTTACAGAAACGCTGGCACGTCTAGGATCGTTGCAACTACAACGATTTGATATTCTTTTTCTTACATAGGAATTCCACGCTAATAAATATCGTTTTCCACACATTTGTTGCACGTTACGACAATCTATGTCTTCGCTTCTAGCGTCTCGGATCTTTGGATTTAGCCTTTTAGGTACCGTGCGTCACTGTGGCTACAATATTGCAGCTCTCGCAAATATCTTGTTTCATTTTACAAATTGTTTTCGTGGAAAACTTTCAATTTATTCGATATAAATCTATTCTTAGGTAAGGCTGCATATAGGGTACAGCCAACAAATAATAATTGAAATGCGCATTCCACGGATACCTTTTTATAGAAGTACATAGTACATATAAAAATCTTGCTCAGTTTCCAGTTCCGCATGAAATTTCACACTGTCTAACAGGTTAATACATCTTTGGTCTTTTCGGCTGCAAAAGATTTCATCCAGTTAGGATCTGAATCCTAATATTTTAAGAATCTCATACGATGAATTTTGTTTTATTATTCGCTTTGTGTGTGTGTGTCGCGACTCCTAGATGCAGTAAATTCTCCCTAATTGACCCTCAGCTTGGAAATAAAAATGGACAATTTGGGAAGAGGAGGTACGATTATTCAATATTATTTAGTTATTATTTATATTATTTATTTATTATTTATATTATTTATTTATTATTTATATTATTTATTTATTATTTATATTATTTATTTTTTATTTATATTATTTATTTATTTTTATTGTTTATAGTTGTTGACAATCGGTAATTATAAAAACGTGCTGCAAGGCTCAAATAATCGCATCTCCCCATCCCAAATTGTCCATTTTTGTGCACAAGCTGAGAGTCAATTAGGGAGAATTTATCGTAGATTCATGTTCTCTGATCATTTTGATTAGTTTACTGAACCATTCATCCAGGTTAGAGTTCGGTTTAATTCTACGATTCAGAATTTTTAAGTCAGAAATCGTCTGCCAGCTTCGAAGTGACTAGTAGAGCAGTCTGGATACGGAAATTCGCTTTTCTCGGGGAATTAGCTCACGTTCTGTTAACCCTTTTCTGCGAACCACCACTTTCGCGTTCATTCACCGGGAATTTGAACCTCGGCTTGAATTCTCGTGTGACGGTGCGAGGTATACCCGCGACCTTGAGGCATTACAGGCTTCCCCCTTGGATACTCGGATACGAGAGACGGCGACCTGCAAATCTAATCAATGCGTTTTTACCTGGAACGAAGTACTACGTGGTACGCCGTTCCCAGAACTAATGTGAGAGGTGCGCTCTAGATAGCGGGAATACTCGGTCGTTATCGTTAATCCTATAGTATACAGGGTGCGGTGGAGCTGGTGCGTCAAATTTTCTCCTCAGCTTTACCATAACCAAATAAAACAATGTCTTCCGCTGCAATAAAACGTATTCGTTCCCGCTTTTGAATCGAGACAAACGTTAAGATGCTTCGAAGCTGTTCGCAGAACGTGCACCGAGATCGCGCGCTTTGTATCTTTAAGTTAGTTCTTGTGGAAGAAAAAGAACATTCTTTCCCGGACGAATTGTTTAGTGGGAGATATTAAACAATCGTAACGCAGAATTTGCGCAGTAAACGTTAGCGGAGTTGCATCTGCAAGATTCGTTTGTTGTATAACATATAACATAGGTGCCTTTTGATGAAAGTTAACCCTTTGCCTCACAGTATTTCCGTTTTATATAACAAAGTGCATTTTATGTATATGAAATTGAGTCTCGCGATCCATAGAACAGTTATGCTTTTAATGATTTTCAAGAAATCTTGAACTTTGATAATATAAAAATGATGTTGGAACGTGATCTCAGTGGTGCCTCAGAGTCGCCACTCGAGTGCAAAGGGTTAAACTGCAATGATCTTAAAAATTTTTGCTGCTATTTATATATATTTATATATATATGTATATATATATTTTTTATATATTATATTATATATATATATATATATATATATATATATATATATATTATTTACATATATATATTTATATATATAATATTTTGCTGCTAGAAAAGAAAGCGTCATAAACTGCAACGTTTTATTAGCTAGAATGAAGACGTAAGCTCTTGTTTACTTAAGTATGCATTCTGTGAACAGCAGGCATCTTACACCTCATGGCACTGGGTTAAGATGTCAGATACCATTTAGCATTGGAATTAGTTCATAACATCTAGGTTTCGTCGTTTCGTGTTTTTTACAATGCATTTTATAGCGTATATTTTAGGCTACGAATAAAATACATTTTGATATGATAAACACGTGTATATTAAATTTTCTAACACCTCGCGATGACGTTACATTGAATTTATTTAAACTTTTCGACACTTTTATTGTAATGTACTGGAACTGGAGAAATTAATTAAATCTGTTCCCACGAAAGAGTTCATGATTTAAATAATTTTAAACTAGTCTGCAAAGTGACATTCTAATTTTGCGAAAGTCGTTCTTAACTCTCAACTATTTAATATTGTGTACCACACGAAGATAAGCATTGGTTTTCATAAAATTAGTTGAAAAATATATAAACGAAGATTGATAGCAAATATGCCATAACTAATCGAAGATGTCAAACGCTTGCTCTTGATTACACTTTGCTGCCTTCGCGGAATGTTTCCGGTCTGCCGAATTCCGTGCTGGACGCGGAGCTTAAATATAACGTTTTGATGATCAGCTAATTGGTTCGACGGTGTTTGTTGCAGGCTAACGTGCACCGAGCCCTACTTCGTTAGCGAAGGCCTGTACACCGCAGCAGAGGAGCTGGAGAATACGCGCGAGGTAACCCTACACGTGATGACCATCGGCGGCTTCATCGAAGAACCGGGGAAGGTAAATCATTCGTCCACCGTTACGCAAACATTTTCTTTTCATCGCGCTGATCGGCGAGGTGAAATTGCACCTGCAAAAGCAACCTCGCTGCTGGCCGCGATGCGCCGCTAATGCTCCTCCGCTCTTTCGTTACCGTTGCAAAATTGATCGGTGCGTCCGGAATGACACGCGTCGCATCAACACACATTTACATGCATAATCTGCAGGCAGATGATTTTTATTTCATTTTTACGAACCCATTTACATGGCAGTGAACAAAAAAATTGCTTCATATTAAAGATCGGCTTGTACGCGTTTTGCATCGGATCATGCCGAATTATTAAAAGATCTTGTCGAGATAATTTAGCTGGGAAACCGATGAATTATATATTTTTACGGGATGATGTAATCTTACTGCTTGTTTCTGCATCTTCTAATAATCTCTAGACTTGACCGACACCAACAAAGTAATGCCGACGTATAACCATACTTAGGATCATTTGTAATTTCATTTACCGATTTTGTTCATTTATCTCATTAAGATTAAGACTATCATAATGAAATATATACAAATTTTAATTAATTGCGGGAAAGGAGATAATCGAATAATAATATCCTTAAAGGTAGATACTGTATAAAATTATTAAAATTCCACGCTAAAATAATTTAGCTACTATAGTTTAGCTGCCATAGTTGCAGTGCGTTTACGTGTTTAGAGATTATATCTTTAAAGGATGGTGCAGTTTCGTCTGTTATTGCATCTTCTATTATCCTCCGGAATTGAAAGGAGATAACGAAATAACTCCGCTAAATTAATAGTTGATTATTTCCTACATCGTTCAGGTTTTATTTCGAACGATAGTACACGCTCGGTATGAACTATGCGCGCACGTAAGAGCGAGCCAAAAGCGCATCGTGCGACTCGCGGGCCGCCATAACCTTTTATCAGTTATCTAATTAGCCGTTGCATTTAATTAACGATCCGGCGAGAGAGCTGAATGATAGCGGCAGCAACGTGCGAGACCGACGAACGGTTCTGCCTGGTCGTACGTAATTTTAATCGGCGCACACGACAGATAACGAAGGGTCGAGAGATGAACTTCGGCTTCCGCGCGCTAGCAATTAGCTGTGTTTTTATTTATTCGAGCGTTTGCGTCTTGTTGCATCAGCGAGAAAAAAAAGTAATATTGTTTTTCTCCTCGCGGAGAATTCGATGCATTGCAAGCGATTCTGCGTGAGAATTCGCAATGAATTTTACTGCACGTTGCTACACTTTTAAGAAAGTTTAATTAAGATCGGACTACGATTGCTTTAGATTAATTATTCGACGCAAAAAGAACTTTGCTGTCCTGTTTTGGAGGATTAATTATTTACAACGGGTTTCTTGATTCTGCGTGAGAATTTACAACGAAATCATGGACACTACGTACGGTGTGTCAATTTTTTGGTCAATAAAGTCCTGCATACATATGGTGCTTTTTTGTTAGGAAAGCTTAATTAGAATCGGTGATAGCACACGACTAATTATTGTCAGAAAATAAAATTGTACATTTCCGTTTTGAACACATAGAGAATCCTATACGTTGCAAGCAACTGTGCGTGAGAATTTACAGTGAATTTTTTTACACTTACATACCTACTCTTTTAAGAAAGTGCAATTAATATTGCATCACGATTGCTTCCATCTAACTATTGGCACCAAAAAAATTTGCTATCCCGTTTTGAAGGTGCGAAGAACGGAAACTTTTTTAATATCATTTTCTTCGAGAAAAAACCTTCAAAAATATGTGTACAAGATCATTTACTTCGAATCGTAATAATAACGAAGTTACAGAGATTTGAAGTTGAATATTATACGTATACAGTCGAATCATAAGCCTCCACATTTCTACGTAATTGAGAATTGAAAATTGGGCGATTTTTCCGGAAACATTATTTTTTCAACTGGTTGACATAATTGCTCAAGATCAAGTTGGTCGATTAACTTCGTATTTGCAGAGAGAATCTTCAGTAAACATGTCTTTATCACCTTTTTCAAACGAATTGAAAAATACTGATTTTTACTATCTTTTAACATCTCCAATATGAGAAAAGAAGCTAAAAATGAAGAACTTCTAAATTCTAATGAACATACTTTCTCCCCTGATTCTTCCAATTAATGGAACAGCTGGAATCATGTTGACCATGGAGACACTTTTTTTAATGGGACTTAGTTCAATGTGTTGTAGCTTATAGCATTATTTTTACTTGAAAAAATGCTTTTTCCGCTGGAAATATAAATAGACATATGCATGTATGAATTCTCAATATAAGAGAAGATCTATGGTTTGTTGAAAAAAGATCGGGAAGAATGCTTAAAAAACGCAACCGTCTAAACCGGTATACCTTAAGAGAGTTCAATTAGGGTCGGATGACGATTGCACTTAACTAATTATTGGCCGCAAATAAAATTTCGTCGTTCTGCTTTGAAGTCACGTCACGCGTCTCGCAGCAATATCTTTTTATTTCTGCGGTCGACAGGATTTCAAACAGTTTGCTCCTTGAATAATGGTATTTACCGATCCCCGGCAGTCTTGCCAGGATATTTTTCGTGAAAGCACTTTTTCCCCGTTCGCCCGTGTTGCGATTAACGAGTCAAGAAACTGGTTCGCATCCCGGTTCGCACACCTCATTACCTAGCCGAGGGGATCGAGCATTTTATTTCTGTCTATAGCCGGCGATAGTTATTATAATTGCTTGTCCCTTACACGTGATTTATGAACGCCCTGCTAAACGCTGCCTGTTCAACGGCTAATTCTATTCCTGATTGCTACTGTATCCTTCCCTGAAACTCTCGCAACAGAACACGAACGAAATTTAATCTCCTCTTGCACAATTGCAATTAAATTCAAATGCACTTCCAGTATAGAGGTCTTCGTAATTTTTCTCGGCGTGCACGGTTACAAATTCGTTCTACCATATTACCATATTTTTATGGTCCGATTCGTACTCGTCGTTATTTAAAAATATGGAAAAATGAGGGATTTTCGAGTTCATCGTAGCGTGAACTGTACCGAGACAGGAACTGAACGTGCACGTGAAGTTTTGAAACAATTAGCGGGGTAGATTTTACAATATCGTGACAGTAATAACCGCAGTTCTTTATGTGAAATAAAAATTGTGCGTATCAATGTTTAAAACTGAAACCAAGTAGACATGTGCTTTTTTCTTCAATAATTTTTGGTGAATATTATGCATATAAGAATAACGAAATATAAGAGTAGTATCATTGCCCTTACAATCGCTGGTTTTTAAGTCGATTGGAAGGTTGTAGGTAGAAGTAGACAAACATATTAAAAATGAAAAGCAGACGCGAACTTATACGAACTTTGTTCTGTCATTGAAGAAGAATGGTGTAATATTGCTACCAAGAAGACGTGATGAAATATATTAAACAACGAGACAAAGCAACGCACTACTAATTATTCAACAAATTGATTTCGTTGAAGTTAGTGTCTTTATTGTGTAGAGTTCGTTTTATAGTATTTATCTTTATTTAGTCATACAATCATTTGTACAGTGAGAGAATAATAATGTAGAAGTCGCGCAAGGACAAGAATTTCGAACTAAAAGCTTAAATATGAAACTCGAAAAAGAAAAATACATAAAATTTAGTTAGATTACGTGAGCTGGGATGAAAACGAATGGCAAATAGCGTTAGCGGTAGAAAGCTTGAAGGAGGTATAGGTATTACGAAAGAAATCTAGTTGATATCGGTTTGGCGTTGAGCTAATGTGACAATAACAAATTTAAAACATAATCTAATAATAAAGTGTATGCAGTGTGCGTCTTTATTAGATTCATGTTCAATCCCAAATTGATAAAATCTCGTTGTCGTTAAAAGGTAATTTGCACCTGTCCGACAATGTTGAAGTACAGTAACTCGCATTAATATTCGGACACGATATTGTTAGAAGAATTATTACTCCTTTTTATTGTTTATGATAGTATTATTGAATCAATTTTTTTCTCATATAATAAAGCACTTCTTAAAGTAAGTAGAAACATAAATTTTGTTTATTTATTGCACATGTTCTTTTGCATAATAAGCGACAAACAAGATTGTGACAAAATTTAGAATATGTAAAGAATATTTTTACAAAGACAGTGAAATACAGTGGTAGGAGTGTAATAGTGTGGGGTTGTATCTCGTCTGTAGGCGTAGGTGAACTAGTTTTTATCGATGGTATTATGGACAAAATGAAGTATTTGAACATTTAAAAAAAAAATTTAATTACAAGTGCTACAAATATGGGCATACGTACAGTTTTAAGTTTTATCAGGACAGTGATCCTAAACACAAGGCCAGAATTGTACAGGAATATTTATTATACAATTGTCCAAAAGTACTGCATTACTAATACCTCAATCGCCTGATTTAAATCCAATTGAAAATTTATGGGATCAATTGGATNATTTTTTTCTCATATAATAAAGCACTTCTTAAAGTAAGTAGAAACATAAATTTTGTTTATTTATTGCACATGTTCTTTTGCATAATAAGCGACAAACAAGATTGTGACAAAATTTAGAATATGTAAAGAATATTTTTACAAAGACAGTGAAATACAGTGGTAGGAGTGTAATAGTGTGGGGTTGTATCTCGTCTGTAGGCGTAGGTGAACTAGTTTTTATCGATGGTATTATGGACAAAATGAAGTATTTGAACATTTAAAAAAAAAATTTAATTACAAGTGCTACAAATATGGGCATACGTACAGTTTTAAGTTTTATCAGGACAGTGATCCTAAACACAAGGCCAGAATTGTACAGGAATATTTATTATACAATTGTCCAAAAGTACTGCATTACTAATACCTCAATCGCCTGATTTAAATCCAATTGAAAATTTATGGGATCAATTGGATCACAAAATTCGTACAACATCTACAAAGACAACAACAGAGATAAAACAACGTTTGTTAGACGAATGGAAAAGGATTTCGCCGGATTATTTAAATAAAATCATCTGTAACATGCCC